CAGGTTCTGAATTTCACCTATAACAACATTTTTATCCTTCAGTTGTTCTGGAACACTGAAGCAGATAATCTCTGAAAGCATGGAAGCATAAGCATTTTTTCTCTTTCTTTGCAAGAGGTGAAAGAAGTCGAGAATCAATAAATAAAAAACGCTAACTGTCCTCTATATTTTGACAGATAAAATCTCTCTTTTATCCCTGGATGACCTAAAAGAAAGAAGTGAAATAAACCTGCGTGGTGGAAAAAAGAGGTGTGTTTTCCATTCAAAGTTTCCCTGCCAATTTCAATTAACATAACTGACAAATCTACATTTATCATTTTTATAACAAAAGTTGAAGCATAAAAAACCCGCCCAAACAACCAAGGATTTGTTCTTCCCTCTTCCCTAGGACTATCTCAATAAAACAAAACTGTGAGAATAATTATAAAAAAATACAACCCTGCCTCCTACATAGCAGAAAAGAAAGGCACCTACTTTCAGCGCCCCATCCCCATCTCCAGTTCAGCACCAGCACTTTTCCTGCTCCCCTCCTCCTGTTTGTTTTATAGTACATTTAAAGATTAGGTTTATATATCTGGTCTGAATTTCATCTCAGCATTAGACTGCAGCCTGAAAGGAAGGCTAAGAAATGTCAGGACAAGTCAGTTCCATATTTTAATCTCTTACTGCTATACAAAGAAATCTGAATTTCATTCTATGGCAACTTTTTTTCTTTAATCTGAAGAATTTGCCTGTTTTTAAACAAGAATGATGTATTATACTTTCACTTAAGAAAGAAATCCAGACAGTCTGATGTCCACTGGTGTCCTTACCCTCTTCTGAAAATCTCTGGAAGTGGTAGCAGCAGGCAGACAGGCAACATCCCTTTGATATAGATTTGAGATTTCTGCCACTGAAAGATGGCATTGCAGGGCCAAGCGTGATCCCACCTCTTCTGTCACACACCAGTCACCATCACTGATACTTTATAAATCCTCAGTGTCTCAAGTGAAGGTGATCTAGTCATGAATATACTAAAAATAAAAGCATTCATCCTATGCAGACTTTCTCTGCAAGAGTCAGAATGGAGAATTAAGAGACATCTTTCTCACTTACCAGTATGAACCACCTGAACGATACAATTTCTAGTCACAACATCTAATGCAACTTTGTTTAAAATACAGCCCTTTATCCTATGTTTCATGATGCACCACTCTTAATAGACCATTAAGTCAAGCCTAGAGCAGAATGAAATGCATCAAACAGTAACATTGCACTTAAATGTGAATAGACTGTATTTAATTAATATGAAATGTGGAAAATTCGTGGCAGGAATCTATCTCTTTCTCTCTTCTCCAACATGGTATGGAAGTTAAGTTTTTGTAACTTGGTTGGTCTCCCTTGACTTCCTTAGTTAATCACAAATACTTAATTTCTTCCCAGGAGGCAAGAGTAACTCTCTCTTTGCTGCATGTCACTTATTTCTGGGAAGATGAGTCATAGCACATGACAATAAATTAAATAAACTTACTGCAAAGGCAACTGAAATGCAAAGAACTTTATTTTGACTTCGATCTAGTGGAAATTAATTTGAAAACTGAGTACTCTCTCCTCTGAATGGCATTTGGGATGATTAGCAAAAGGGTAACTGAAACATCAGACAGATCTTCCTAGATCTTCTATTTGAACTTTAGGTCCCCTGTCTCAAAGCAGTACAGCAACTGCTTTTGAAAAGGAGATCGGAGTTACTTTCAGTGGGACCACATTAAACTTCTGGGCTCCTCCCAACTTTTGTGCTTCTTCTAGCAGCTATTCTCCTGCCAAACTGCCACAAGCAGAATGCAGAAGTGAGAAAATACTAACTTACTTATCTGGAAAATCCATCTAATGAGTGAAATAACGATATAAATGGTCTAAATAGGGATAAATATCTGGTTTCCTAAACCCATCTGTTGTAAATCCTGTCAGAAATCTTTTCAAAAGGTTATAAATAAGAGAACACCTATTTTAGAAATGGGCAACATATTTATTCCTAGCAGCAAATCCAAACATGATGAGTAATCTGGCAGAGAGCTGTTAAATTCACCAGCTGCCATCCACCTCGGGCAGAACCGTATCTCGTTTTATCTATGTAGTATATACCATATGCTAATAACTGCTTGAACCAAACACGGCCATTGGTATTCCCACTCCTGAATGTTCCACTCAGGTTGAAATTTAAATAAAAACACCACGACTAACAGAATAAAAATATTTGAAACAGGCAAAAACTGAATAGAAAATGAAAATTATTCTGTTTGCAGCAAGAATTGCAATCCTGGAACATTAAAAATACATTTCTCTATTCTTCAGTGACAAGTCACTGAAAGAAAATGGTTTGGTCTTGTTTCAAACACAATGAAGACAAAACCTGTCTGCTTTGAATTGGAGGTAGTGATGAAAGGTAGAGCTACCCAGATAATTCTCCAGTGTCATGAAAGAATATAAACTTTTAAACTGCTCCCCTGCAGTTTAACATATACATAAATATAAAAATATACTTCTGTTAAAATGTCACCCTCCTAGAGAGCTGTGAGCTCAATAGCTTTAAGCAGTGTTTGTTTTAGCTTTCTTTCTGTGAGGAGAGGCATTTTTGCTCTACATTCCACTTAAATTCCTGAACAAAAAAATGCCACAAGCTTGGACTCACCCTTCTTGTCAAATGACAGTTTTAACAGAAGATCACTTGGGCTTCTTGGTGGGGAACTGGTGGTGGAGAGGGAAGTTACTCTTTTTTTTTTGCTTTGCCTTACTGGGCTTTAAATTTTCAGAAAAGAGGAGAGGTAACCACTTGTTTTGCCTGCTCTTGAATGAAGCAGATACATGAACTGTAGAAATCAGTTTCATATCAGGTCCTTAAGCAAAGAGCACTAACAGTGCACACTATCACAAGGACAGCACTGCCTTCTCTATGGGTACAGGATCAGATAGAAGTGATCTAAAGAAACCAGTCTGCTTATATACAGCAATCACTACACACACACTTGTATGGGAGTTCTAGATGTTAAATATCTGGAGGGTTTTGGACTTATTTACTTAACAATCTTTTCACAATTCACAAAGATAACTAAATTAAATAATATGCCCATATAATAATTATTTTAATCATTTTAATTTATGTTTCCTGAATAAATAATCTAAAAGAAGAATTTTCTTTGTACCAGATGTTCACTTGCAACAAAATAAAATAGTGTAGGCAGGGAATATGCCAAATTGACCACAGCATGGTCACACAAAGAGGTCATACACTTGGACATAAAGTAATTGGAGATCAAGAGCTTCTGTATAAGCTATGGAGATGGAATCATGAATGACTCAATGGACTGAAAAGTCATAAAAAAGAATTGGTGTTCTGAAATTAGGCACCATCAACACTGCTGAAACTCAGCATTTGCTTGTGAATCTCCAGTCATCTATTTTATGTGGCTTTCACAGAGCCCGAAACAGTCTCTACTTTGTAGCATTTTCTTAGTGAATGAAGCAGCAGCCACAAACCTGCCTCTCTCTAACGTGAGAGATTTACATTAGGAACCTACTAATTTCATACTATATTTTCTAAGCAAAGGAACACCTTCTTACTTAGTTTACTCCAGTTTTATCATGTTACAACTCCTGGGAGTTAATTTATTGAGAACTATGTCAAATTACTACAGTAGTGACTGGGGTTTAAAGCTTGCTATGGAAATCCCAGCTGGAGAACAGTGGATTGACACTCTGCACAGGGATTCCCTGGTTGTGGATAAGCCGTGCCACGACTGCAGGGTACTTGGTTTGGCTCTAGGTATCCTAGTCCAAGCAAGCTAACAAGCGTGGGATCACCTTAGTTCTGGAAACAGAGGCCTAATGTGGATTTTACCTTTAAATTATTCCTTTAAATAATTTAATTATTTAAATTAAATTTAAATTTCTTCCTCCAAACTTGTAACACTGAAGAGCTGAGACAAGTTCAAACTCACAAACTTTAGTCAATTACATAGCTAACAAAAGTTTTTACTAAATACAGAAGGACCACACTCCTCAGCAATATCCATAAACACCAGCACTGACTTTTCACACTAATCCAGAAAAAATCAGTGTAACCATATTATTATTCTAAAACATAAATCTAAACACAAACTACAAAAATCAGAGGAGCAGTGCAACTGCTTAAATTTTTTAGAAAATCCATACAGGCACAGAGTAAACATCCGTGAAAGAGAATTAAATATGTTCAGGATAGTTCTGAACACCAAAAGTGAATATCAGCTACTGACATTTGCAAATTTTCCATTATGCCCATTTAGATTTTTATAAATTTTCAGAAGTTATTTCAAAGGCATAGGGAAAAAAAATCAAATTCTCAGTGTGGGAATGAAAGATCCAGAGGTTGTCTTCCTCTGGGCTTGTTACTGAAAACAGTCTGCATCCTATATAGCGCATTCCAAAATGCTCTCCAAGGTGACCCAAGGGCAAAAATCAATGATGAACTTTCTTCACAAGCACGGAAATCTACTCCATCCCCTCTTCAATTTCAGGACTACTTCATTTCCAAACGCTTTGAAAGATACAAGAGAGACGGGACATGCAGAGCCTGTGCTTTTACTGCGACGCAATAAAAGCATAGCGAGCTGCTCATTCGGGGCCTGGCAGAAGCTCACCGAAGTCAATACCAGCCTTTCTGTTGATTTCAATGGCTTTGTACCAGGCCCAACACAGACTGTTAACAACACTGGAACGAGTGATTTTGGCTCAGTACCACCACACCCACCCGTTTGGCTGATTGGTATTTGTTGGTGATTTGGCAAATGCATTTAAACACGAGACAGCAGGAAATACACAGGTCAGAAAAGAGCACTTTGTCAGTCAAAATCACTTGCCTGGCGTTAGACAGTTAAAACTATTAAGCACTGGCTGCTGATTTCAGCCAGTCAAATGCTGTTGCAAATGAAAGATGAAGCATTGCGTGAAGCCATGCTAAAATGGATAGAAGGATGGTTACTTACCAACGGGGCGAGCTGTTGACATTACAATGGTGTAGTGAGAACATAAAAAAGAAATTAAAAAAAGAAAAGAATATCTGTCAGAATGCATGACGTGTAATGTTACCTTCCACTATGGATACTACCATGATTGTTAACTCCTCACATGACAGCCTAAGCAAAAAGTTTACTCTTGTTACTGTTTAGTCACATGCCACTATGATCACATTTACTTGAGAACAGCATCTCAACGAGATGACTGGAACCATTCTCTGAGAAACATTTTTATTATCTTCGCATGTCATCATCAAGTATCATTGTTAATGCCTGATAAAAGAGAAATTGCATTGCATTAGCACAAACTTTCAGATCCCAATGCACACATCAATTTAAGCCACAGACTGCCAAATGTCATGCCAGTAGATGCAAGGCGTTTGCTTTCTGAGTCAGATACCAACTGAATTTTAAGCAATAACGGTCAGTACAGCAGTAAGGGCTGCAGAAAGCCCAGGACAGTTTTTCTCGTTCAATAATGGGCATGACAGCTTAGCACACACTGCTTCTTCCTCACTGACAGTGCTGATGAAAATATAACAAATGGGCTGAAATGGCCAAAGGGATTTCAACCCAGAATCTCCCGAATTACTGCTTAGATAACTTCTACTTCCCAAAAAAATTGCAGCTAAATGATGGCCAGGTTAATACTGCTTCAGGTTGGTATCAAGATTGAAACCTGCTGCTGCAGCAAGTGATTTCTTGATTATAGCAACAGCCCTTCATTATACTTGTGCTGAGGAAAAGGGCTGCCAGTCCCTCTGTTAATAAAATATAGACATCCCCCTTCAGAAGAACTGAAAAGTTGGACATAAAATTGACTCCAGGTCACACCTGTTCAGGCAAAATTCCCTTATTTGAGCAGCAGAAGTCGTTACCCATTTCTGATCAACAGCACTTGTTATGTTCCTTTTTCCCTTTTTTTCTTTTTTATTTTTAAGAAATTAACCAGCTCTATATGCTTACGTGCAGGCTAGAGTCAAATGTAAGTTATGCAGATTCAGAGGTAATACAGCCTGCAAGGACCTTCTCAGTTCTCGACCTGTCTATGGGTTTATCTTTACTTTGGCATACTCATTTCATTTAACTATTTCAAGCCTGCTGCCTTTTCTCACTCATTGACTGTTTGAAGACTTTCTGGCTTCTAGCATTACGGGCACATACTTCTTCTGCAGAGAGAGGAGGAATAAGAATGATGATAGTTGTCTTTCCAAGAGAGGCCGTGAAGGCTGAGTCACAGAACCCAAATTCTGTTGCGTGTGACACAAACTCCCTGACTGCACCCTCACCTCCTGCCTTGGGAAGATGGGCTCGTGGAGGAGGGAACTGAGGATTATGCTGTTGCTGCCAGGTTTGCGGCTGTAACTATGACACCTGCAAGGACCAAGGCACCCTCAAAGGAATTTTGAAAAGCTATGTGGTTTTGCTCCTCTACGTGACATATAGTTACGGTAAAAGCAGTTTCAGACAGAATTGGCAAAAGTTTAAAAATTCCAAATTCGGGCTTTCTTTAATTAAAAAGACCATTGTTTGCAATCCCTTTAAAGTCAATTGGAGTTTGCTCAGTCATTTGTTTTCAGAAAATTCACAGTAAGAGCCTTCTCCATTGAATTTCTTGGCTTTTCTCATTTTCTGTCATAAACTGAACATTTAATATGTTTGTAATATTGTGGCTTCCTTTGTATTGGCTAAACACTATATATTTGACTGTAAATGACAAACCCAGGGGGAAAAAATAGCCAGGATAATGAAAACCTGCTTTTACTGTAGGAAAATCGATTAAATTGTATATTTCATCCTTGGGTTTTTTTTCAACCTTAATTTCATCAGGTTCAAGCTTCAGTGATTTCAAAGGATTTTCTGCTTGGGTCTAGCTATTGTTTATATCACAAGTCTGGGTAGCAAATCTGAAAAGCTTGCTTCAGTAATGTATACAGTGGACACAGTTCCAGGAGTGTTGAAAGGCTATCAAATTGGCTGCCAGATTTATTGGATACCATGATTCTGCCTGTGACAAAGGAACAGAGTGAGAATATTTCTAGGAGTCCACTGTAGTGACTATTTTTCCTCCCATTACAAAATGGAAGAACAATCTCTTACACGGGCATGAAGCAGGGAAACTTATTTCTTCAGTTTAAAATGAGAAGAGCTGCATTATCACTTACTGTCTAAAGTGAACACTGAGGTAACATTTTAGTAGATGGGTTATCACAATACTCTCTTTTCTTTGTTATGTACTAACATCTCCCCCCCCTAAAAAGCCACTTGGTGCTTTTTTTTCTCTTTGAATTCAGCAAATTAAACTGAACTGTGTCCATGCATTAAATGGATGGAAATGGAAGCTGGCCTCTTGGGTCAGTTGACCCCAGTTCTAATAAAGCAATCCACTGAGACTTTGAACATTTGATTTAATGTGTATGAAAAGAGGAGAACAGATAAAGCTAAAAATGTTTTTATTAACCTTTCACAGCTCTACTGCAAACCGTCAGCATGCACCACTAAACTGTGAAATAGTGTCTGCATGAGATCCATTGTGCCAAATTACTGCTTATCTTTTGGAATGAAATAATAACTATTATATTCTATCTACTCACATGGAAATATTAGCCTACAAACTTTTTCTCTCCCCATAATCTTTAGCATGTCTATATCTACTGTCACAAAAGACATTCTGGCAACTCGTTTTTCTACTGGTCTTAAAACCTCCTTACCACATCAAACAGCAGCACATAAACTCTGAGTGGATGTTAGAGACCAAGAATATTTTAGGAGAGAATATGTTAATCTTTACCTTGTAATACTTATGAAATTTAATTAGGATTTTCTTTTTCCTTTGGCTAGTGTTTATCTCCCAGATAAAGAGTAATGGTAGAGAGTTTAATTATGGCAGAGCTAATCACATAGTAATACTATCTGCATTATGTTTGGCATTAATAAACATAGTTACTTACTATACTCCTTATACTTATTAGGGCAAGGAACGTGAATCATAGCCTAAACTGATGGCTCGCATATGAAAGTCTATGGCCACAGTGATGTTGTGCTTGCTTATGCATATATATGCATCTGTTCTTGCATTAAAAAAATGGCACTGCTCTTTAAGTGCAGAGAGTTCCTATCCTGTTGAAGCCAATTAAAATTTTGCCCGATATATGAACAGGAGGAGGATTTCACCTCTGTTGTAAATTGGTGCAGCACCCGCAATTGCAAAGGACACGTGAAAGCCAAACGATGCTCGTTTCGTCAGAAAGCAATTTATCCCCGTAGGGGACGGGCCCTCCCCGTGGGAACACTCACCTCGCACCGTGAGGGTAGCAGAGGCTTCCACTTTGCCAACGCGATTCTCAGCAATGCACGTGTAGGTTCCTTCATCTGTGCTCAGGGCCTTCTTAATGCGCAGTGTGTAGTCATCCTTGATGTCATACCTGCGTTACAGAAAGAGGATGAAAACTCTCTCTGCAGACAACAGAAATGAATGAAAACTCTCACCTGGAATATGCCGGCCTGAATCTATCTTGGAGCCAGCTTTGGAAGACAAATTATTATCTAGCATTAGATAATTCCACCAAGCATCCATCTTCATGACATTTTTATTGCACTCTGCATTAGTTAGAAACTTTACATAAAATTAGTATTGCTATGTTCACTCAGTATTAGGGCTTTATTAATAATATCATTCACTTTGTCCTTGATCTAGAGCAATAAGATAAAATTAAGCTATCAGACATCAGTTATCAATACATGACAGCTCAGGTTTATCATGCCTTTGACTATGTGAGCTACACATTTTACCTTTTGCTGATTTGGAAATTTCTCTTTATATATAGTCTTTCTTTACGGCAGCAAGTCCTTAAGGAAACTGTGAGCATACTGGGAGGATCTGAGACTGCACAATTACAAACAATAAAAAATATATTTAAGCTCTGGAAGGTGACATTTATTGAAGGGGCACATTAAAGGAGATTTATCAATTTCACAGAAATACTACAAAATTATTAATTAAGGGTGGAAAATAACATTTTCTCTTTCTTAAAAGAAATAAGAAACAATTCAATTACGCTTTGTCAGTTTCTTCGTTTCTACTGTTGTAATAATCCTGGAACTATGAGGATGTATAAAACTCTAAATAATACAAAGTACTTCGGCATGCAATGACCACTCACTCTCAAGACATTTCGAGTGCTTACACCTAGAAAAACATTTTCAGTTAAATCTTTATTATCCTGCAGAAGTCATGCTTAACAAACTGCTTTAGGCTCTGATCCAAAGCTCCTTAAAGTCAATGGGAGACTTTATCTTGTACGAAATGTCCTTGGTTCTCAAATCGGGAAAACTCTGCTTTTCAGCATGGATATTTCACTCCTGAAATACTCTCTTGTAAAACTATTTTCAACAACATTTCTTTTAGGGATAATAAGCCCATGACACCTTAAATCTTGAATGCAGAGTTCGCTTCAGATTGTCACGTATCGAGCAGTGACAAAGGAACATGAAACTAAAGATCAGAACTTCAGGAGGTATCAGTATTCCTTCTCACTGCGTACACACTCACGACATAACTTCAGTAGAACTAATTTACCTTCTCTTTGTTATATGATAAAGACCTTGTAGACTTGTTCAGTAAACATACTGAAATCATATGGAAGAGCACCCTTAAATGTTTTGATGAATAAGAACGTAATGCAACTAGTTACAGGAATGTTGTGAGGCTCTATGAGTATTTTTAAATGAATCTGAAACATTAATTTCTGTGTACACAATATACATTATTATTGGTTCCTCTAGTATAGATTTGCAGAGATAGCACTGTGTGCTAAGAGGCTTTGAAGCACCTTAACTCAAAGGATCCTCTATGCTGAAACATTTAAAGTCCTTTTATATCTAATTAAATCTCATAACATCAATTAGAGCATTACTAGCAATTCCAGGAATAAAGAGAAGACATCTTTTCACACTCAACACAATACAATGCAGCTTCATTTTATATTCAGCAAGTCCAGTCCATTCATTAGCAAAAAATAAATTAAAAATGACCAAATTGAGGCTAACCATTCTGTCAGACACAAACACATACAATATCCCTTTTGTCAGGAGTTACACTTAATTATATGAATATGCAGTACCTTGGGTTTAACTATTGAATAAGAGATATGGCAGGGGATGAATAAGTAGATGCCATTGCAAACTTCAGAAACTTTTAGGGACCATTTTTTGCTAGGCTAGTCCCATGGGGCGGGGGGGATGTTATGATGCTAGAGAACTTAATATGCAATTTCTGGAGTAGTACAGGTCTATTGAAACTACATTCAACAGCCATATGTGGTGGAGGAATATTTTTTCTCGACTGCTCTCAAATTATATCATTTTGCATGCTGTGCTGCACTAGGCAATGGCAAATAGAAATCACTGTTTTCGTCAGAGAGAAAAGGCAAATTATGTCCCTTAAAAATCTCAAGAATATGACAACGGTATCCCACAATGATAGAACAGTTATTTGTCTTTGGCGACCACAGAGTTGCAGACAAGAGAAAATGCTTATTTTCTTGACACGAGGCCAGTCCTAGGGGACTAAAAATATAAAATTCTATTGAGCTCCTGTAAGACAAGAAAACTAAGGCCAGTTGTAATATAAATACGAGCTGGATATAAGAATCACAGTCACAAAGCTAGGCAACAATTAGCCATTTATTTAGCAATATTTTTATTTTTTAAGACAAGTAACATCCCCATGGCTCATTTACCACCGCCGAGTTAAAAGCAGCCAGGCAGCAGGGGCTGTATCTGAGTGAGGGACTGGGACGCAGCAGCCCGGGACAGGGCTCTCCAGTTGACTGGCTCCTCTTCCTCCCCGCGACGTGCCGGTGCCGGCATGCCCGCCAGCTGCCTCGGTGGGCTCTGTGCTCACACCTGCCAACCACACAGGCTGTGCCAAGGGGGACCGAGCCAGCGGCGTGGCATGCCAGGACGCGGAGCGAGGGGCAGCCATCATCTCCCACTTGGGTCGTGAAACGGAGGGTGGTGTAAACATGTCACCATCACGGCCCAGTTATCAATTACTTCAAGGAGAGGTCCAGCTCTCCCGGTCTGCTTCTCCAACAAGGCCATACTGGGTTTTTGGACCACCCTGACAGAACATGCCATCTAGCAATTAGATTCATACACAGATGGACCCACGGGACATTATGACCATCTGCTGTCCTGGAGTACTGATACGCTGCCCCTCAGTCATCTGTTCTACCCACATTGTCCCCAGAAGTCATCACGGTTCAGTGAAGAGCTTTGATGGATGAAACAGGCAGGAAAGAGACAGGAAGGAAGCTGGCTTTTAGCCTGATCCACAGCAGCACAAGGAGCTTGTGTGAGAAGGGACCGTGAAGCAACAAGGCGTGAAGCCTGAATACATTTTCAGTTTCTCAAGCATCCACCTGCGCAGTCTTGACCAGAGTCTTGTCCCCTCTCCGTCCCAGAGTCTCATATTCCCATAGCAAGATGTTTCCACCTAAGTTTCTGGAGAAATTCACTCTCATCTGGATTAGTACCACTGAACACCTGGGAGTCAGGATCAGGGCCTCTCTGACTGCTGATAGCAACCACAGAGAGAGGTTACCAGAGCCCCGGGTTGATGATGGGATGGTGGAAAACCAGAGTGAACTGGTTGGGCTGGTCCTTCACGTTGCCAGTGCACTAAGAAGGCAATGCCTTTGCAACATGTGCCCCGTCAAGAATCGCCTTCTGACACATTGCCCAAATATTGCTGACTCCCAGCCAATTAACGCCAACATTCAGCTAAAAACATGGGGCTCAGACATCAGTTTCACATGTTTATGGCCATCTAACTGATTTTAAGTACTTCTCTGTGTTAAACATTTGGAGGTGCTTAACCTTTCGGTTCAGCTGAAACGTCAGCATCAGACTGAGCTGGGAGAGGTCAGCCCATGCCCAGGTACAAACCAGCCACTTTTGGGCACCACGTTACATAATTTCTGTTCCACAAGTAATAGAGCAGGTCTGCCTTTAATTAACTGAGGGGGCTGGAAAGGAAGAAAGAAAGAGCAAAACAACAAGCAGATGAGAAAACACTGCTGGTGAGGAAATTCTAATAGAAATTGGGTGATTTTGAGTGAAATCTGGCAGTCTCTGGCACATATGAATGCATTCATTGTTGCTAGTTTTGATTAATGACAGTTGTACAATAGTGTGCTGACAGTCACTGCCATACAGACACTTTTTTTTTTTCTATATGAAACACTGCTGAAAATGCAACCCAATCAGATTTGGCCCCCGAACAACATGTGCTATCATCACTGTACCGTGAATTGAGATTGATTGGTAACCAGCTGTGACAAAGTGGGAAAGAGAGCCTTGTCTTTTTCAAGAGAAGAAAAGAAGAAAAATAAAAAATCAAATTGTGTCAAAACCATTACCATCTGCTTAACCAATAACAATTAAAATAAACCACATTAACTGTTTTTAAGTATCACAAATTAATGCATTGAGGTTGGATTCATGCATTGGCTTAAGCATCTAAGAACAATCTTGAATGAAACTGGTTTTGTCACAGTTATAATTTCCCCCACCACATTCACAAGTGTGTCTGTCCATACTCAGCCACCAATCTTCCATGGTTATCAAATAAAAAAAAAGAGAGAGAATTTACTGAACTTAAGAGAGATTTAGCACTATGCTTTTTTTGCATTTGATATACATTTTACTGAGTGCTTCACAGAACTCCCAGATTTCCAAAAACATGCATGCAGCTATGCATAAAAATATATGCATTGCTTTGTCTTTCACATGCACAGGCAGCAAAACTGTGCCTACGGCTGGAGTTATTGCATTCCTAGATATCCAAGTCAGCCTAACTGGTAATACAAGGATGCACTTGCTTCAGTACTGTATTTTAAAGTTGTGAGAATGTGCTGCTGAATTCAACAAATCCAACTCAAAAAGCCGTATTTCTTGCCAAGGGGAGTTTGCAAGAGAAAAAGTCATCTTAACTGTTGAGAACTGATGCCACCAGCCTCAAAAAATTTACATCCATTTATACCAGGCACCTATTTTCTTCTTAAACGTTACTGTAAATAAATAAATATAAACCAATAGTAGAATCTGCATGAAGGCTTTGTAGGCTTTCCTTTTTTTTTAGAGATGGCACAAGATATACTTTGCTCTCTTTTCTCTTGCCTGTTTGCCAGGCTGTTTTGCAAAACATGCACAAAGCTTCAAGATTACTCACAACATCAGTGATTAGGGAGCCCAAATAGAGAGATGCTACAGGCCAAAATCAGAGGAAACAGGAGGTTGTTAAGGAGGCTCCAGCTTCTGTCTCCACTTCTCTTTTGTGGTGCTGGCACTTCAGCTCCCAGCACAGTGCCACAGCTTTTCCTGGCTCCGAGACTCTGTGCCAGATGGAAGGAGCCAGAGA